CAATAGACCAGCCCCAATAGACCAGCCTCAACAGACCAGCCCCAATAGACCAGCCTCAATAGACCAGCCCCAATAGACCAGCCTCAATAGACCAGCCCCAATAGACCAGCCCCAATAGACCAGCCCCAACAGACCAGCCCCAATAGACCAGCCCCAACAGATCAGCCCCAATAGACCAGCCTCAATAGACCAGCCCCAATAGACCAGCCCCAACAGACCAGCCTCAATAGACCAGCCCCAATAGACTAGCCCCAATAGACCAATAGACCAGCCTCAATAGACCAGCCTCAATAGACCAGCCTCAATAGACCAGCCTCAATAAACCAGCCTCAATAGACCAGCCCCGATAGACCAGCCCCAATAGACCAGCCTCAACAGCCTCAATAGACCAGCCTCAATAGACCAGCCCCAATAGACCAGCCCCAATAGACCAGCCCCAATAGACCAATAGACCAGTCCCAATAGACTAACACACCAGCCCCAATAGACCAGCCCCAATAGACCAACAGACCAGCCTCAATAAACCAGCCTCAATAGACCAGCCTAAATAGACCAGCCCCAATAGACCAGCCCAAATAGACCAGCCCAAATAGACCAACAGATCAGCCCAAATAGACCCACTTACCAGCCCCAATAGACCAGCCTCAATAGACCAACAGACCAACTCCAACAGGCGCTGTCTGAGCGTCTAAGGGAGTGAAGTCAACTTGTTCTGGCAGTTGATTATCTTCCCCTGATGAATCTGCCTTTTATCTTCTCTCATTTCCAATTTCCTCCTTGAGAGTTGGACTTTAATTTTTTTTTATCTCACGGCAAGAGGGTCATTGGGTACACCTCACATCTAGACACACGTAGTCAACACACGTAGACAGACAAACGTAGGCAGACACACGTTGTAGGCAGACACATGTTGTAGGCAGACAAACGTAGGCAGACAAACGTTGTAGGCAGACAAACGTTGTAGGCAGACACACGTAGGCAGACACACGTAGACAGACAAACGTAGACAGACAAACGTTGTAGGCAGACAAACGTTGTAGGCAGACACACGTAGACAGACAAACGTAGACAGACAAACGTTGTATGCAGACAAATGTTGTAGGCAGACAAACGTTGTAGGCAGACACACGTAGACAGACAAACGTAGACAGACAAACGTTGTAGGCAGACAAACGTTGTAGGCAGACAAACGTTGTAGGCAGACACACGTAGACAGACAAACGTAGACAGACAAACGTTGTATGCAGACAAATGTTGTAGGCAGACAAACGTTGTAGGCAGACAAACGTAGACGGACAAACGTTGTAGGCAGACAAACGTTGTAGGCAGACAAACGTTGTAGGCAGACAAACGTTGAAGGCAGACACACGTTGTAGGCAGACACACGTAGACAGACAAACGTAGACAGACAAACGTTGTAGGCAGACAAACGTTGTAGGCAGACAAACGTTGTAGGCAGACACACGTAGACAGACAAACGTAGACAGACAAACGTTGTATGCAGACAAATGTTGTAGGCAGACAAACGTTGTAGGCAGACACACGTAGACAGACAAACGTAGACGGACAAACGTTGTATGCAGACAAATGTTGTAGGCAGACAAACGCTGTAGGCAGACACACGTTGAAGGCAGACGAGTTGAGCTACAAGAATCTCTAGAAATGAACCTGCTTATAAAATGATTTGGTTTAAAGTTCAAGGTCACGACAGCCACTCAACCAGCCCACATGAAGACACCTGGCCGTGCCCAGGGAGGGCATATGGGAGGGCATATGTGCACCCAGAACCCCTGAGTCTTCTTGTCAACACCATCAACGCCCCAGCCACCACCCTCTTGTCTCCCCGGGCCGCGCGTCTTACAGCAGACGATTGATCTTCTGTTTAGGCTCAACGTTTACAAACATCCCGCCAGATCCGTTCTGTCGTCTGCTTGATGGGCTCACATCAGGCTGCACAACATCTGTTTCCACATCACACTGATAGCACACCTACCTGATAGCACACCTACTTTATAGCACACCTACCTGATAGCACACCTACTTTATAGCACACCTACCTGATAACCCACCTACCTGATAACACACCTACCTGACAACACACCTACCTGATAACCCACCTACCTGACAACACACTTACATTGACCCAACAACAGACCTACAACGACCTGACTATACACCTATATTTACCTGAAAACACATCTATAAACACACTACACACCTATATTTACCTGACTACACACCTATATAATTATCTTACACACCTGACAATATTCCCATATTTACCTGATAACACACATGTTTAGCAAAATGTCCTTCCCGGCAACTACCCGCCAATGTTTGGCCAGGTTTCTCAACACATTTCCACTCTGGCAAGCAGACATGCGCACAAACACCGGAAGCGGACGTTTTTATAAGCATCTGACAACAGTTATAAACCGGTTAGCTAACGTTGAGCCAGGTTTCATTCAATTGGGTTGAATTGCACGCGCCGTTACTGCGTGATGTGCAACATGGCTGCCTGCACGTGCTTGACGTCTGCCACCTTGTGTATCTGTTTTCTTTCACACGGTTGTCAACATCCAACGTGTTGTAGTCAACATCCAACGTGTTGTAGTCAACATCCAGCATGTTGTAGTCAACATCCAACGTGTTGTAGTCAACATCCAACATGTTGTAGTCAACATCCAACATTTTGTAGTCAACATCCAACATTTTGTAGTCAACATCCAACTTGTTGTAGTCAACATCCAACGTGTTGTAGTCAACATCCAACGTGTTGTAGTCAACATCCAACATGTTGTAGTCAACATCCAACATTTTGTAGTCAACATCCAACATTTTGTAGTCAACATCCAACTTGTTTTAGTCAACATCCAACATTTTGTAGTCAACATCCACATGTTGTAGTCAACATCCAACCTGTTGTAGTCAACATCCAACCTGTTGTTTCACAATCCGGACATTCCCAACCACCAAAGAATTATAATCCTTCTGTTAGAGGATAATCCTTCTGTTAGAGGATAATCCTTCTGTAATACCCGATCTAATTACCGCCTTTAAACCTGATCTAATTAGTGCAGTATTTTATCTCCCCCCCCCCTTTGTATTTTTATTTAACGCACCCCCTCCCCCACCCCTCTTCCCCTGATGATTGTAAGAAAAAAGTCACAGGGGAAAACAATCACAAAAAAAAGTCACAGAAAAAATCACAAAAAAAAGTCACAGAAAAAGTCACAGAAAAAAGTCACAAGTGTATTTGCATGGAATTTGTTAATGTTTTTATGGATTAAATATAAATTTTGTTGATTAAATATTACTTTTGTGGATTAAATATTACTTTTGTGGATTAAATATTCAGGAAGTGCAAATAAACTTACGATTAATTAAATAAAATCCAAGCATCTAAGATAAATGTGCGTCGGTTGTGTGCGTATATAATTTATAACACACGCAAAAATGTTTGTATGAAGTATATGGATTTTAATTCCCTTATACATATCATATTTAATTAGAATTTGATAGAAGGTTCCCACCTTCTAGGTTTTCGTTGTGTTTTTAAATACTCACTTTAATTAGCGTGCAGTGCTATAAATAGGTAGTTAATCTGACTTGCTGCCAGCAAATGATAGCAACAATAGTTCAACCACCTATACTGTCTAATTTGTCCATGTCCATGATACCATCTAATTTGTCCATGTCCATGATACCATCTAATTTGTCCATGTCCATGATACCATCTAATTTGTCCATGTCCATGATACCATCTAATTTGTCCATGTCCATGATACCATCTAATTTGTCCATGTCCATGATACCATCTAATTTGTCCATGTCCATGATGCCATCTAATTTGTCCATGTCCATGATACCATCTAATTTGTCCATGATACCATCTAATTTGTCCATGTCCATGATACCATCTAATTTGTCCATGTCCATGATACCATCTAATTTGTCCATGTCCATGATACCATCTAATTTGTCCATGTCCATGATACCATCTAATTTGTCCATGTCCATGATACCATCTAATTTGTCCATGTCCATGATACCATCTAATTTGTCCATGTCCATGATACCATCTAATTTGTCCATGTCCATGATACCATCTAATTTGTCCATGTCCATGATACCATCTAATTTGTCCATGTCCATGATACCATCTAATTTGTCCATGTCCATGATACCATCTAATTTGTCCATGTCCATGATACCATCTAATTTGTCCATGTCCATGATACCATCTAATTTGTCCATGTCCATGATACCATCTAATTTGTCCATGTCCATGATACCACCTAATTTGTCCATGTCCATGATACCATCTAATTTGTCCATGTCCATGATACCATCTAATTTGTCCATGTCCATGATACCATCTAATTTGTCCATGTCCATGATACCATCTAATTTGTCCATGTCCATGATACCATCTAATTTGTCCATGTCCATGATACCATCTAATTTGTCCATGTCCATGATACCATCTAATTTGTCCATGTCCATGATACCATCTAATTTGTCCATGTCCATGATACCACCTAATTTGTCCATGTCCATGATACCATCTAATTTGTCCATGTCCATGATACCATCTAATTTGTCCATGTCCATGATACCATCTAATTTGTCCATGTCACCATCTAATTTGTCCATGTCCATGATACCATCTAATTTGTCCAGGTCACTCAAAGACATGGCAGTGGTTCTAGTTTCGTGTCTGGGCCATTGTGGTGTTTTAAGGCCATTTTGATGTTTTAGAGTTTTATGGCCATTTTAGTGTTTTATGGCCATTTTGGTGTTTTATGGCCATTTTGGTGTTTTAGAGTTTTATGGTCATTGTGGTGTTTTATGGCCATTTTGGTGTTTTAGAGTTTTATGGTCATTGTGGTGTTTTATGGCCATTTTGATGTTTTATGTCCATTTTTGTTCTCTAGGGTTTTAGGGCTATTTAAATACATATTAGATTGAAATTCCTAAATTTGAAATCTCTCTTTCAGCTCTAGAAGTCCAAGTGATCTCCCGCGAACAAGAAGAAAACTGGGTCAAGTTCACGGTCAGCGTCCTGGCCAATTACCGCCCGAGCACGCCCGAGAGGTCGCCGAGAAAGGCCGAGACTCTCATCTGGGTCCCGCTCCAAGACCTGGCCTGCAAGTGTCCCAAGATCCGCATCAACCGGAAGTATCTTGTCGTCGGCAAGTACCGGTCCGAGGACAAGAACCGACCAGGCTACGTGGCCGACAGGTCGACGACCGTCATCCGCTGGAAGGACAAGTGGCAGAGGCGTCTCCGGCGCTTCTACAAGCGGGAGCTCAACGGCAAGTGTTAGAGCATTTCGCACGTCAACATGTTCTCGGGACAACTGGAACATGTTCTCATGACAACTGGAACATGTTCTCAAGACAACTGGAACATGTTCTCAACACGGGACAACTGGAACATGTTCTCAACACGGGACAACTGGAACATGTTCTCATGACAACTGGAACATGTTCTCAACACGGGACAACTGGAACATGTTCTCAACACGGGACAACTGGAACATGTTCTCATGCCAACTGGAACATGTTCTCAACACGGGACAACTGGAACATGTTCTCAACACGGGACAACTGGAACATGTTCTCAACACGAGACAACTGGAACATGTTCTCAAGACCACTAGAACATGTTCTCAACACGGGACAACTGGAACATGTTCTCAGGACCACTGGAACATGTTCTCATGACAACTGGAACATGTTCTCAACACGGGACAACTGGAACATGTTCTCATGACAACTGGAACATGTTCTCATGACAACTGGAACATGTTCTCATGACAACTGGAACATGTTCTCATGACAACTGGAACATGTTCTCATGACAACTGGAACATGTTCTCAGGACCACTGGAACATGTTCTCAACACGGGACAACTGGAACATGTTCTCATGACAACTGGAACATGTTCTCATGACAACTGGAACATGTTCTCGAGACCACTGGAACATGTTCTCATGACAACTGGAACATGTTCTAAAGACCACTGGAACATGTTCTCATGACAACTGGAACATGTTCTCATGACAATTGGAACATGTTCTCATGACAATTGGAACATGTTCTTAACATGGAATAGTTGGAACATGTTCTCAACATGGAATACTTGAAACATGTTCTCAACATGGAATACTTGAAACATGTTCTCAACATGGAATACTTGAAACATGTTCTCAACATGGAATACTTGAAACATGTTCTCAATATGAGGCACAATTGGAACATGTTGACAACGTAGAACTTTGTACATTGGAACATGTTGACAACGTAGAACTTTGTACATTTCAATCGGACATGGAATAATGTGGTTGTGTGGAATTTGATTCAATATTTAAATGACGTCATAATTAATTATAGTGTCATGTAATCAAATAGATCGATCTTGACATTCTACCTCCATTTTCTTTTTTTGTAAAATTGCAATCATTGGTTGTGAAACATGATCGTGACATGTAAGTTGTCCTAGAACATGTAAGCTGGCCTAGAAAATGTAAGCTGGCCTAGAACATGTAAGCTGGCCTAGAACATGTAAGCTGGCCTAGAACATGTAAGCTGGCCTAGAACATGTAAGCTGGCCTAGAACATGTAAGCTGGCCTAGAACATGTAAGCTGACCTAGAACATGTAAGCTGGCCTAGAACATGTAAGCTGGTCTAGAACATGTAAGCTGGCCTAGAACATGTAAGCTGGCCTAGAACATGTAAGCTGACCTAGAACATGTAAGCTGGCCTAGAACATGTAAGCTGGCCTAGAACATGTAAGCTGGCCTAGAACATGTAAGCTGACCTAGAACATGTGAGCTGGCCTAGAACATGTAAGCTGGCCTAGAACATGTAAGCTGGCCTAGAACATGTAAGTTGGCCTAGAACATGTAAGCTGGCCTAGAACATGTAAGCTGACACCAGAAGTCAGACTACGGCGAACTGGTGTTTTCTCTCCAAAAATGTTCAAGATGGCCAGATTTTAAAACGTTCAAGATGGCCAGATTTTAAAATGTTCAAGATGGCCAGATTTTAAAATGTTCAAGATGGCCAGATTTTAAAACGTTCAAGATGGCCAGATTTTAAAATGTTCAAGATGGCCAGATTTTAAAATGTTCAAGATGGCCAGATTTTAAAATGTTCAAGATGGCCAGATTTTAAAATGTTCAAGATGGCCAGATTTTAAAATGTTCAAGATGGCCAGATTTTAAAATGTTCAAGATGGCCAGATTTTAAAATGTTCAAGATGGCCAGATTTTAAAATGTTCAAGATGGCCAGATTTTAAAATGTTCAAGATGGCCAGATTTTAAAATGTTCAAGATGGCCAGATTTTAAAATGTTCAAGATGGCCAGATTTTAAAATGTTCAAGATGGCAAGATTTTAAAATGTTCAAGATGGCCAGATTTTAAAATGTTCAAGATGGCCAGATTTTAAAATGTTCAAGATGGCCAGATTTTAAAATGTTCAAGATGGCCAGATTTTAAAATGTTCAAGATGGCCAGATTTTAAAATGTTCAAGATGGCCAGATTTTAAAATGTTCAAGATGGCCAGATTTTAAAATGTTCAAGATGGCCAGATTTTAAAATGTTCAAGATGGCCAGATTTTAAAATGTTCAAGATGGCCAACGTTGTATTGAATACCATGTGTATATTGTGGATTAATCACCTATCATTTAATGATGTCTATGTATGTAGTGAATCTATATCGCATTGATTTTTTTCATTTTTTTTTCCTATTTATTTACCACTACATATTTTTGATAACTCAAATATTTGACACACATCACCCCCCCCCCGTATGAAGTTGTAGCCCCCTCCCCCGTATCAAGGTGTAGCCACCCCCACCCCAGCTTAACAGGACGTTTTGTGGGTCTCGTCAGCTCCACTTGACGTCATCTTTGTGTATCACGTGGGACGTCAACATGTGTGTGACGTCAGTTTTCTGTGTGTTTCGTCATGACGTGCTGAGACTGTATGACGTCATCTTAGTACGTCTGAGGTAGAAAATATCATTTGTTTCAACTAGAAACTAAAGCCCAGGTCTAATGGATTGATGTAGTAGTGAGGTAGTAGTGAGGCGGTAGTGAGGTTGTAGTGAGGTTGTAGTGAGGTAGTAATGAGGTAGTAAAGAGAACAGTGCCCATTGGTTGAGAGAATACTGCTCTGTATGAGACAAGAATCGTGCGGATTAGTGTGGGTGATTAGGTGTGTGGGTGATTAGATGTGTGGGTGATTAGGTGTGTGGGTGACTAGGTGTGTGGGTGACTAGGTGTGTGGGTGACTAGGTGTGTGGGTGACTAGGTGTGTGGGTGATTAGGTGTGTGGGTGATTAGGTGTGTGGGTGATTAGGTGTGTGGGTGACTAGGTGTGTGGGTGACTAGGTGTGTGGGTGATTAGGTGTGTGGGTGACTAGGTGTGTGGGTGACTAGGTGTGTGGGTGACTAGGTGTGTGGGTGATTAGGTGTGTGGGTGACTAGGTGTGTGGGTGATTAGGTGTGTGGGTGACTAGGTGTGTAGGTGATTAGGTGTGTGGGTGACTAGGTGTGTGGGTGATTAGGTGTGTGGGCGATGCTATAGGTCAAAGGTTGATGGAAACACGAGGTCATGGGTCAAAGGTTGATGGAAACACGAGTTCATGGGTCAAAGGTTGATGGAAACTCGAGTTCATGGGTCAAAGGTTGATGGAAACACGAGTTCATGGGTTGTGGTGTTCAGGGGATAAAAGAGGGGGAGGGGGGGTTCAGATGCAAGAAACTTTCTAATTTCATCGCGTCTTAAGAAGAATTAGTCTAATCAGGAGGGGGGGGGGATTTATTCAGCTTTACCTGTAGCGCGCGAAAGGTGAGTAGAAAATGCCAACATAGTTAGCGCGCACGTGAAGCAAATGGGTGCATCTTTCATCTCTCTCTGACTTTTGGACTGGGACTTTTTTACTCAATGAGTCCCGCGCGGCGATTCGGTTTTAATGACCTTCTTATCTCTGCCTCAATGACCTTCTGATGTCTGCCTCAATGACCTTCTGATGTCTGCCTCAATGACCTTCCTCAATGACCTTCTGATGTCTGCCCCAATAACCTTCTGATGTCTGCCCCAATGACCTTCTGATGTCTGCCCCAATGACCTTCTGATGTCTGCCCCAATGACCTTCTGATGTCTGCCCCAATGACCTTCTGATGTCTGCCCCAATGACCTTCTGATGTCTGCCTCAATGACCTTCTGATGTCTGCCTCAATGACCTTCTGATGTCTGCCAATGACCTTCTGATGTCTGCCCCAATGACCTTCTGACGTCTGCCCCAATGACCTTCTGATCTCTGCCTCAATGACCTTCTGATGTCTGCCTCAATGACCTTCTGACGTCTGCCTCAATGACCTTCTGATGTCTGCCCCAATGACCTTCTGATGTCTGCCCCAATGACCTTCTGATGTCTGTCTCAATGACCTTCTGATGTCTGCCTCAATGACCTTCTGATGTCTGCCCCAATGATCTTCTGATGTCTGCCTCAATGACCTTCTGATGTCTGCCTCAATGACCTTCTGATGTCTGCCTCAATGACCTTCTGATGTCTGCCTCAATGACCTTCTGATGTCTGCCAATGACCTTCTGATGTCTGCCCCAATGACCTTCTGACGTCTGCCCCAATGACTTTCTGATGTCTGCCCCAATAACCTTCTGATGTCTGCCTCAATGACCTTCTGATGTCTGCCTCAATGACCTTCTGATGTCTGCCTCAATGACCTTCTGATGTCTGCCCCAATGACCTTCTGATGTCTGCCTCAATGACCTTCTGATGTCTGCCTCAATTACCTTCTGATGTCTGCCTCAATGACCTTCTGATGTCTGCCTCAATGACCTTCTGATGTCTGCCAATGACCTTCTGATGTCTGCCCCAATGACCTTCTGACGTCTGCCCCAATGACCTTCTGATGTCTGCCCCAATAACCTTCTGATGTCTGCCTCAATGACCTTCTGATCTCTGCCTCAATGACCTTCTGATGTCTGCCTCAATTACCTTCTGATGTCTGCCTCAATGACCTTCCGATTTCTTTCTCAATGACCTTCTGATGTCTGCCTCAATGACCTTCTGATGTCTGCCTGCCGCAGTGGACCCTGCCGGTGGTTTAGACTCAGAGTCACGGAGTCATCAGAACCTGCAGTGAACCACCTTCTTAGAGATTTATAGCGCTGCAACTCCGCCAATGTCCTTTTCACGGGGAGGGGGGGGGGGGGGTTTAGGGCGGGAGCTACCTTTTTTTTCTTTGTGAATTTAGGGGATACGAGACCGTTTTGTATTTTACTATGTAATGCTGAATTCTGTGTCTTCAGAAGACTTTTTTTGTAATTACAATAGATCGAAAACACAATATTGAACAATACACGCAATGTTGACCAATACACATAATGTTGACCGATACAATATTGACCGATACACACATTGTTGACCGATATACTCAATGTTGACCGATACAATGTTGACCGATACAATGTTGACCGATACAATGTTGACCAATACAATGTTGACCGATACAATGTTGACCAATACACTCAATGTTGACCGATACAATGTTGACCGATACAATGTTGACCGATACAATGTTGACCAATACACTCAATGTTGATCGATACACGCAATGATGACCGAGCCGATAGGGTGGAGGGGGGGTAGGAGAGTTTATCAGCGGGGGGGGGGGGTAGGAGAGGTTATCTGCGTTTTTTGAGACGATAGGGTGGGGGGGGGGGGTAAAAATCTTCCAAAAACGTGTGACGTCGAGTATAGATGAGCCCTAAGTTACAGATTTATATTTGATTATGAGGGGTGGGGGGGCTACCCGCGTTATCCAGAAGCTTTTTTTTTTAACTTGGACATATGTTGTAACATTTCTGTTTCTGTACACGTGACGTCATTCAAGTATACAAACTGTGTTCTGTGTTTGGTTTTTATGACTTTTGTTATGATATCACAGGTGGTGCGTGCGTGACGTATGTGGTGACTTCAACATACGGGCGTAGCGGCAAACGTCATAGACCGCATGTTTCTGTATTTATTGTATGTGTCCTCCCCATTACTCATGTGGGGACCTTACAAATGTGGGGACCTTACAAATGTGGGGACCTTACAAATGTGGGGACCCAACACAACAGATATTCTCTTGGTCTAGCCAATTAGCTACGTGTCGTTCTCTAGGTCATTAGCAGCACCGTTATCAAGTCATAATCAACTAGATATTTATTCATTACGTCATTGTAATATATATATATATATAAATATATATATATATATATATATATATATATATATATATATATATATATATATATATATATATATATATATACTTATATATATATATATATATATATATATATATATATATAAGTATATATATATATATATATATATATATATATACATACATTTATAAACAAAAATATATTCTTATATATATATATATATATAGAAATATATATATATATATATATATATATATATATATATATATATATATATATATATATATATATATATATATTTCTATATGATCATGTGTGTGATTATTTGTACTAGGATAAAGAAATCCATGGATCAGTCAATAAAATTATATAACATGAAGAGGTCACGATAAGTTTATAAGTTAGCTGAATGTTTTAGAGTTTTTGTCCAATTGATGTAATACTACTACTCAACCACGATCAATATTTGTACCTTTGCATAGTTTTGTTCGGTAGAAATAAAATGTTCAACTTTTGTTCGTCTCCTGATTTCTTGTCAGTTCATTGCCACGATGTTATCTGAAGATCAAGCTCTAGCTGGCTTTCTTATCGACTCTACTTTACCTGCACAAACAATTTGTCACTGTAAGTACTGTAGTACCTGGCCAGCTTTGGATCACGTGATGTAGTACCTGGCCAGCTTTGGATCACGTGATGTAGTACCTGGCCAGCTTTGGATCACGTGATGTAGTACCTGGCCAACTTTGGATCACGTGATGTAGTACCTGGCCAACTTTGGATCACGTGATGTAGTACCTGGCCAACTTTGGATCACGTGATGTAGTACCTGGCCAACTTTGGATCACGTGATGTAGTACCTGGCCAACTTTGGATCACGTGATGTAGTACCTGGCCAACTTTGGATCACGTGGCGTGACAAACCATAAATTCTGTGCCAGGATTAGTTCCTGCGCTAGGCAGGTGATAACCAGGTGATAACCGGCACATGCAGGAGTAGCGGGACTTGAATGGAGCCAGAAATAGACGGCTGATGTATGTAGGTCACCCACTTCATCTTATGGCATCAGGTACTGGATGTGTGAGGGGAGGAGTCACTGGGGGAGTCATAGTG